GTAGAGTTACGGCTCAAGCGATAAAGTGCTAGTGTTGAGCAAGAAAGTTCAAGGACAGTGCTGAGTTCAAGCTCCAAAACAAATTACATATATATATATATATATATATATATATATATATATATACTGAAGTGTACAAAATCCCTGCAATTTAGAAATCAACAGATGGCAATTTGTCTTCCTCTTGAAGTAAAAAAGGCCAGATCCTTCGTAGCAATTAATTCTCTCCCTTTTCTGCTCCATTGGGATTAGCAAGTCCTTAGCAATTAGAATTCTTGGACCAATTTGAATAATGATCAGCTGTGAGCATGGAGTTTCCAGGTCAGCTGGTTATAAAATCCATTCTGCATCCCTGTCCTACAACTTGTTCCTTGTAGCCCATGGTCTGTTTGGCAGTGTGTTCTGCCAGGCTCATCAGCGGAACCTGAGGAATCCTGTGAGGTCCTGCCTTCCTGCCACCTCTGAGCACTGAGCTGAGCATCTCACAGAAAGCAGAGGAGAAAACAACTAAGTGCTCTTTGGTCTCCTCCCAGCAAAGACCCAGTGCAGCCCAGTAAGTGCTACTGGACACCTGGATGGAGGAAGGGTGGAAGTGACCTGGCTTGTTCGCCATGCTGAGAGTGTAGCAGGGGTGGCTGGATGGCAGTGTTACCAGGAGGCAGAGTTTACCCTGGGACATTTGTGTTCTGACTTACATTAATGGTGGGAAAAGTCCAATTACTGTTCTGTTTGCCTTCCATACTTGTTGCAAGTCATCAAAGAATCTCTCCCACCAGAGCCGGATGCAGGAGATCTATCATGCCCCCACCCCCCCAAAATAATCATGATGATGATGATGATGATGATGACATTAACCAGGATGTAATAAACCTTTGCCTAGAGCTTCCAGACTCTCAGTTCCCTTTCTTTATGGAACAGGAAATTAAGAAAACAAATCTATATCCCTACATATTCTCTCCATGATAAAGATTAGAAAACCTTGTACATTGTCATTCTGACACATTTTAGGATAGGAGAATCAAATGTGTGTGTGTGTGTGTGTGAGAGAGAGAGAGAGAGAGAAAGAGAAAGAGAGAGAGAAGGAGGAGGGGGGAGGGGAGAGGGGGGAAGGAGAGAGAAAGAGTGTTTGCTGGACAAGGGGTTTGATTTTAAGGCCTAGGCGACTCCCTGAGGTTAAAGTTTATATACAGAGGAGTTCCTGTGCATAAGTCAGGTAAAGAGTATGTTTCTTTGCCCCTTCACTTGCCCCTGAGCTTTTGCATGCGAGGCTGGCACTCTACCACTTGAGACACAGCTTCAATTCCATCTCTTTGTTGGCAAATTGAAGATAAGAGTCTAATGGACTTTACTACCTGGGCTGGCCTTGAACCATGATCCTTAGCTCAAACTCTTTAGCAGTTAGAATCACATGCATGAGCCACAGGTAACCAGCTGAAAACTGCATTCTTTGTAATTTTTATTATTGTTCTGGTATATATATATATATATATATATATATATACACAAATATATATATATATATATATATATATATATTTGTAGATGCAGTCAGGTTTTATTCTAGGCAACAGACCCCACCACACCTCCCACAGGGCACTTATCTCTTTCCTACCAATTCAATGTGATAGTTCTGTTCCTTGTGCCCTGGGCAATGCTGACCTCTGTGTCTTTTCCTTTGAGTGTTTCCAACAGCATGGAAGAGCTCTGTGGATGTCCTTGCTATAGCACCTGCAGGAAGCATGGCCAGTATTACATGTGGAGCCACAGAAAGTGTTGACACTGGAGAGTTCAAAGTACCTGTGTCTCTTCCCATTGCTCCTAGAGTTTGAGTCCACTACTCAGGGCCATCTTTACCCGGTGATTCATTCCAGGCCAATCCCTGTGAGATCTCTGTTGGGTGTTAATCTGAGTCAGACAACAGGAAACAAAGATACACACACACATATATATGTATATGTAAATATTTGTTTATATGCATAAATACACACACGCACCAGGAAATTTGAGTACAAGATCTAGTCTTGTGCTGTAAAACTTCTGAAGTTTAGTGAAGTATTGAACAAGTCCCTTGGTTGGATCTCAAAGTCCCAGGATTCCATTTTGAATGTTTCTGTGACCTGTGTCACCTGTGGATGACACTGCATGTGAGTAAACTGGTAGATTCAGATAATCTGGGATTGTAAGTTTTAGATTGCTGTAACTTTAAATTGTTTTTATTAATATATTGGCAAGATTAATTTATATCCTTCAATGACTATCTGTTATCATCTGTACTTTTAGGTTTCCCTAGATTGCTGAGAGTTTAATTTGTATTATTTTATTGACATTGTTGTTGTTGTTTGTTGTTTTGTCAAATTCTTTCCTCCAGCTATTTTTATTTTTTTTTAACTTTCTGAATGTTAGAGATAGGAGATTTAATTTAATGGCAGAGTCAGGCCATATGCAAATAACATTTCCACCAATTTCATGCCATCTTTCTGTATGCATATTTACCTAAGGTTATATGGGATGATTGGGGACCAGGAGCAGAAATGTACGCATAGGTAAAATAGCCTAAAGTCACAGATGTTGTTCAGACATGGTCAGAGATCGTAGCAGTTGCTCTGACACTTTGTTTCCTCAAGACTGGTCTTGTGGGGATGCTGTTGCAATAGAAGTCAGTGAGAATGGGGCATACTAGTGGCTCATGCCTATAATCCTAGCTACTCAGGAGGCTGAGATCTGAGGATGGTATTGAGGATGGCAGAGTAAAGCCAGCCTAGACAGGAAAGTCTGTGATATTCTTATCCCATTTAACCACCAAAAAGCTAGTAGTGGTGGTTCAAGTGGTAGAATGCCAGCTTTGAGCAACAAAAGGTCAGGTACAGCATCTAGTCCCTGAGTACAAACTGCAGGTGTGGCACAAAACGATAAAAATAAAAATGCCCCATGCTTTATTTATTTTCTGGAAGGAGCACCCTAGTGACTTTCTCTTCTTGTTTGAATAGTTTTCCTCTAACCTGTTTGTCTCTGAACTTTTTTTTTGTTTTTGTTTTTGTTTCGGGGTCTGGTCATGGGGCCTGAACTCTGGACCTGGGCGCTGTCCCTCATCTCTTCAGCTCAAGGCTAGTGCTCTACCACTTGAGCCACAGCGCCACTTCCGGTTTTTTTCATTTTGCTTATGTGGTGCTGAGGAATTGAACCCAGGGCCTCAGGCATGCAAGGCAAGCACTCTACCAATGAGCCACCTTCCCAGCCCTTTCTCTGAACTTTTTTTTTCCTGCAGATTTTATCAATTACCTCCCCTGCAGTTTCTGGAAGTCCCTTGTCCCAGAGATAGGCATTATTTTTTTCTAGTTGCTCTGGTCTTAACCCATGTCAGGAGAGAAGGACAGATTAAGCAGGTAGCTGTCATTGCCAATAGGCCTTTTACCCCAATTCTTTTTTTTGTGGCAGTATCAGGACTTGATCTCAGGACACTGTCCCTGAGCTTTTTTTCCCTCAAAACTAGTGTTCTACCTCTTGATCCATAGCTCCCTTTCCTTCCTTCCTTTCCTTCCTTCTCCTTCCTTCTCCTTCCTTCTTTCCTTCCTTCCTTCCTTCCTTCCTTCCTTCCTTCTTTCCTTCCTTTCTTCTTTCCTTCCTTCCTTTTTATCTTCTGTTAGTTAAGTGGAGATAAGTGTCTCACAACCTTTCCCACCTGCGCTGACCTCAGATCTTAGCCTCTGAGTAGCAAGGATTACAGGTCTGAGCTATCACCAGCATCCAGCTTGGAAAAAATATTTCTTTTTTTGTTGAACAAGAATTTTTAAATTTTATTTTATTGTAAAGATGCTTTACAGAGGGGTTACAGTTAGATTTCTTATTGAGCATTGCTACCCCTTCCCTTGTTGATCTCCCACTATCCCTTCCCTTCCCCACCTCTCTGATTCTTACCCCCCACCCTGAAGTTGTAAAGTTCATTTCCAGTATAGTGTCTTGTGGGTACCATTGTTGCTCCATGGATTCCCTCCAAAGATAGAGACCAGATGTTTTCTTGTGTTTTTTACACTGACTATCTCAAAGTGTTTTTTTTTTTACCCTGAGGTCTGTAAATGGAATGACATAAAAGCAAGAACATAGCATAGAAACCCAACAAAGAAGGAATTGTAAAATCAGCTGGAATGGAGAATACTAGATAATATAAAGATCCTTGTTCTAGTTTGCTTTGCATCAATAGGATGAGTTCCCACATGCAGGCAAGTTTATACTTAAAGTTCATTTATTTTGCCCTTCCTTTGGTGTCTACAAATCTCATCTGTAAAGTAGCGGACCTAGGTAAACATATATGAAAGAGGAAATGTCACACGCTGACCAGGAAGACAGAGACTGGGGAACTTTAGTCCTCTCCAAGTCCCTTCCTCACCTCCACCCAGTTTTACTGTCTTCTTCTTCCATTCCTCTCTCCATCCCTTCCTCCTTTCTTTTCTCTGTACTTCCTTCCCATCTCCTTCCATCTCTGTCTCACTCTTCCCCTCTCTCCTTTCCTTCCATTCTCCTCTTCCTCCTTTCCTCAATTATTTCCTTTCCTATCTTCCTTCCTCTCTCCCTCCATTTTTCTTCCTTTCTTCTCTTCTTTCTTTTCTACCCTCTTTCCCTTCTTTTACTTCCTCCTTGTCTCTCTTTCTTCCTTTCAGTCCATCTTCCTTCCCTTATTTGTTCCTCCCTACCTTCTTCAAGTCATCCTCCCTTCCTCCTATGAAGTATTAGAGGTTTGCCACAGGGTCTCAGACATGCTGGAGAAGCTGTGAAACACTGAGCTGCACTCCTATTTCTGAAACAATCCACAAAATCGTCCCACAGATGCAGCCTCCCCTACCACATGAATCTCTGGAAGAGAAAAATTAAAACTTAAGTTTATCGTTTCAATGCTCAAGTTTGAGTAGATTCGTTTTTTATTTTGCATGAATGCAAATCGGTGGCATGCATACTACTTTATTTATTCCAATGATATATCCCTTTTCCAAAGGTGTTCTAGCTACATGGAGTCACAGAACTTAACAAGCATCTTGGAATTTCTCCTCCTGGGACTGACAGAGGATCCAGAACTACAGCCTATCCTCTTGGCCCTGTTCCTATCAATGTACCTGATCACCGTGCTCGGAAATCTGCTCATCATCCTGGCCGTCAGCTCTGACCCCCATCTTCACACCCCCATGTACTTCTTCCTCTCCAACCTCTCCTTGGCTGACATTGGGTTCAACAGCAGCACTGTCCTCAAGATGCTGGTGAACCTCAGGACTCATAGCAAATCCATCAGCTATGCTGGCTGCCTAATGCAAGTGGCCTTTTTTGTAATGTTCTGTTGCTTGGACAGTCTGCTCTTGGCAGTGATGGCCTATGATCGCTTGGTGGCCATCTGTCACCCTCTCCACTACTCAATCATCATGAGTCCCCGCCTCTGTGGTATGTTGGTCCTTCTGTCATTGTTCCTCAGTCTTTTGGACTCTGTGCTACACTGCTTGATGGTGTCACAAGTTACCTTCTGTACAAATGTAGAAATTCCCAATTTCTTCTGTGAGCCTCCTCAACTAGTTAAGCTTGCCTGTGATTATACTTCCACCAAAAATATATTCATCTTTCTCTTTGCTGCAGTCTTTGGTGGTCTTCCAGTCTTGGGGATCCTGTACTCTTATGCTCGCATTGTATCTTCTATTCTTGGAGTCCCATCAGCCAGTGGGAAATATAAAGCCTTCTCCACCTGTGGCTCTCACCTCTCAGTTGTGTGCTTGTTTTATGGGACAGCCCTGGGTGCGTACTGCAGTTCAGTTTTTTCAGATGCTCCAAGGAAAGTGATGGTGGCCTCCGTAGTGTACACCACAGTCACCCCCATGCTGAACCCCTTTGTCTACAGTTTAAGGAACAGGGACATCAAGAGCGCCCTCCGTAGACTGGTGAGAGTGGCAGCCTAATACATAACACACACACACACACACACACACACACACGGGTCATGTTGTTTGGGTTTGGATTCAGGAAAGTCTGCAAAACCAAGCCTTAGATTTGGAAGGACACTTGTGAGTTTTGGTGATGATGATGATGTTCCATGTGTGAGCCTTGCTTCATTGTAGAACTTTTGTAGTTTGGATCTTAAATGTTTTCTGAAGTCTAACATGTTGAATGTTTGATCTATAATCTATAGTTCTATGCAGAGGTGGTGGAAGTTTTTGGAGATGGGGCCTTATGAGAGGACGTTAGGTCATTAGTGGAGTAACTTTAAAGAAAACATAGTAAACCCTGTGTCTTTCTCTTTCTACCTGTGCTTTCTTGTCATTTGTCAACATGGTGTTACCATCATCTTTGTTTCCTCTTCTTTCTTTCTTCCTTTCTTCTTTCCTTCCTTCCTGTCCTTGCTTATTTTTCTCTTTCCTTCTTTCTTTCCTTTCTTTTTTTTCTTCCCCGCTTGGGTTGTCTTTGAACTGTAATCCTCCAGATTTCACCCTTGTAAGCAGCTATGGTTACAAGCTGAGCCACCAGTCTTCAACCAAAGTTCTTTCTCTTCAAGACATTTCTTCACAGAACACTTCCTTCCTGTTCTTTATGCTATTTATTTTTCTTTTCCTTTCCCTAATTTCCCTTTTCTGATTTGTCCATTCAGCCTTTTGTCATCCTTTCAGTAGTGAGCAGTGACCATCACCATTTATTTACTTATTTCCTTCTGCCCCTAAGTTGGTGGTGTGTTTGCTTTTTTCCCATTGATGATTCTATGTTGCTGTTTTTGGTTAGAACTTTCATCTTTCAACTATTACCAATCAAATGCAGAGCAATGACTGCATAAATGTAATTAGTATGCTTTTCTCTTTTCTTGATCAATACCTCAATAAATGATCACTTGGTGAATCAAGGTGTTTTGTGAACTTGTGAGACTGAAGATTGCCAAATGTGCTCAAAAAGCAAAGGTCATTGTCGTGATATCTCTTTCTCAGTTTACCACTCAAGTACAGATTATGATAACCTATTTTCAGTTACTGTGTGGCTATACTTTTGTCTGTGGATTGCACGAATCATGAATAAATTTAGCATTATGCTTTTTTCATTTTCCAAAGAAAACAAAAGACCATGTCAACTCTTTATCTTTCTTCATTTCTCTTCTTTTCTATATGTTATTTATTGTAAAAATACTGTAAATTACATGAGTAACACAATGAATACTTTCCTATCAAGTACAGTTGCCTCCTCCTTTGTTTTTCCCCTACCATCATTTCCCTCTCCACCTTCCGAACTACTCTCTCCCTCCCCCCATTAGTTATAAAGTTCATTTTCAACATAGTGTTTTGTACATCTCATTGCTACAATGGGTCAACCTGTATCTCTCTTCAAGCATTTTGTTTTTTCCGTTCCCTCCCCAAAGTAGAAAAGTGTATATACAAGATGCAGTACACCAGAATCAAATACAGTGAAAACAGGGGCTATACCATGGGGGAAGAACATACAAAAGAATCAACAAAATCACATAGTAAATAAGTACCATATTTTCTTGGTCTTTTCATCGATTAAGGGACATCTGGGTTGGTTCAATATCTTAGCTATGGTAAATAATGCTGCGATAAACATCGTTGTGCTGGAAACTGTTCTGAAGAGAAAATAAGAATATCCAATAGACACATGAAGAAATGCTCAACTTCTCTAGCCATAAAAGAAATGCAAATCAAAACAACATTCAGATTCTACCTCACCCCAGTTAAAATCGCTATAGATATCTAATAACAACAGATGCTGGAGGGGATGTGGCCAAAAGGGTACCAACTCTTCTGCATTGTTGGTGGGAATGTATATTTGTTCAATCACTTTGGAAAGCAGTTTGAAAGTTTCTCAAAAGTCTCCACATAGAGGTCCCCTATGACTCAGCAATCCCACTTTTGGGCATTTATTCAAATGATCACAAATAAGAACCTTTGGCATATAGGAATAGCAATGCCAAGAGGAATGCTTATAGCTATGAACATGTACATTAAAAATCAGGGAGAGCATAAGGCACTAGTGTCTCCCCCTGTAGCCCTAGCTAATCAAAAAAGTGAGAATTGAGTGTCACAGTTTGAAGCCACCCTGAGCAGGAAAGCCCATAAGACTCTTATCTCTAATTGACACAAAACCAGGAAAGGGAGCTGAGGCTCAAGTGGTAAAACACTAGCCTTGAGAGGAAAAAAAGCTAAAGGATAGCATGCAGACCCTGAGTTCATGCCCCAGGACTAGCACACAAAAATTTATAGAGACAGCTCAACTAACTATTCTAATGACATACCACAAATGCTTAGAAAAACAAGTATAAGTAAAACCCAAAGTGAGTAGGTCAAAAGAAATAATGATGCTTAAGGCAGAAATGAATAAAATGTAAACCAAAACAATACAAAAAATCAACAAAACAAAAAAAAATTTTTCCTAAGAAAAGATAAACCCTGCTGGGCATCAGTGGCTCATGCCTGTAATCCTAGCTACTCAGGAGGATAAGATCTGAGGATTGTGGTTCAAAGCCAGCCCAGGCAGGAAAGGCTGTGATATCTAATACACCACTCAGAAAACTGGAAGTGGTGCTGTGGCTCAAGTGGTAGAGTGCTCCCCTTGAGCTGAAGAGGTGAGGGATAGAGCCCAGGCCCAGAGTTCAAGCTCCATGACTGACAAAAAAATAAAATAAACCCTTAAATAAATTTATCAAAAGAAGGAGAAGATCTACATTAATAAAATTAGAGATTTGAGCTCCCAGGTGTTCCATTGGTCATTTGGAGCTGGGCTATAGTGGTTCATACCTATAATCCTAGCTACTCAGGAGTCTGAGATCTGAGGATCAGGGTTCAAAACCATCTCAGGAAGGAAATTCTTAAGACTCTTATCTCCAATTAACCAGTAAAAAATCCACACATGGAACTGTGTTTTGAGCAAAAAAAAAAAAATCAGGAATATCACCTGGCCCTGAATTTAAGCCCTAAAAAGTATTGGCAGTGACCAAGGTATGTAGTCAAACAAAATGTTCACTGGCAAGGTACATATATATATATAATATAGCGGGAGGATTGAAGATTTCAGTCAGCATGGGAAAAGACATGTCTCCAAAAATCAAAACAAAAGAAATGGGAGCCGGAGCATAACTCAGGTGGTAGAACGCTCCCCTGGCATGTATGAAGCCCTGTGTTTATGTATGAAGCCCATTATTTAAAAATAATCTCATACATTAATACTTCTGCTGATTTTTTTTAGATTTACCCACTACTTCACCTACAATATCTGAATTTAGACAAACTAGTTTGGAAAAGAAGTAAATTGTAAAGAATGAAAATAATGTAATTTTAAAATATTTTCATTGTTATTATAAAGGTGATTGCAAAAGGGTTACAGTAACTAAGTGAGGTAAAGATTACATTTCTTCCATTTCTTTCCCAATCTTTCCCTCCTGTTCCACAGGCTGTTACTTGAATTTTTTTTTAAGTATCGGTACTACTTGGCACTTGAAATTGTCTCTAAAGATCTCTCAAAAGAAAGATGGCTTCCCCCCAAAAAATTATTTTTTTCTGGAATTTGCTTCTTGTTTTTTTTGTCTTATTTTGTTTGTTTGTTTTGTAGGTCATGGGGCCTGAGCTTTGGGTTTGGGTGCTGTACCTCAGCTCTTCAGCTCAAATCTAGCACTCTACTACTTGAGCCATAGTGCCACTTCTAGCTTTTTCTGCTTATGTGGTTAGATTCCCAGGGGCTCGTGCATGTAAGGGAAGCACTCTAATACTGAGCCACCTTACCAGCCCTGGCTTCTTGTTGAAAAATCAACCTTTCCTTGGGTAGACTTTTTGTGATCTTGGGGACAATTTTTCTTTTCCTTTGAGAAAATAAATCTATGCAGTTGTTTAAATCTTCGGTTACTCTGTTGAGTTTTTGCCACGTTGATCTATCTAGTGGGGATAGAGGTGTGTTAAAGTCCCCAACAATTAACGTCTTTGGATCTAAGTAAGATTTGAGGGAAAGTAGTGTTTCTTGGATAAATTTGGGCGCTCCATTGTTTGGCGAATAGATATTTAGAATTGTAATATTCTCCTGAAGGAAAGATCCCTTAATTAGCATGTAGCAACTTTCTTTATCTCTTCTCACTAATTTTAATTTGAAGTCTATCTTATCTGATATTAGGATTGCAACTCCTGCTGTTGATGGGGGCCATTTGCTTGGTAGATTTTGTTCCAGCCTTTCACTTTCAAAATGTGTTTGTTTTCATGGGCAAGGTGTGACTCGAAGGCAGCAGATAGAAGGATCTTGCTTTATAATCCAACTAGATAGTCTATGTCACCTAATTGGAGAGTTAAGTCCATTAATGTTGAAAGATAGGACTGAGAGGTGTTTGGTAGTTCCTGCCATTTTATCCACCTTCTTGGGGGTTGCGAAAACTGGGTTCTTCCTATGGTTCTTGGATTCTCAATTTGGGTGTGGTTTCTTGGCCTTCATTGTGGTTTTGTTGGTTTTCTACGTGTAGGACATCTTTAAGTATCTTTTGTAGGGCTGGTTTGGTGGAGATATATTGTTTCAGTTTTTCTTTACTATGGAAGGTTTTTATTTGACCTTTGGTTAAGGAGAGCTTAGCTGGGTATAGTATTCTTGGTTGATAGTTGTTTGTCATTACGGCATGGCATACATCATTCCAGGCTCTTCTTGCTTTAATTGTCTCTGCTGAGAAATCTGAGGTGATTCTAATTGGTTTCCCTAAAGAAACATATGTCCCATGGTTTCCCTTATTTGCAATAACTAGTATATGTCTGAGACAAGTGGAAAAGGTCAGATAAGTTGATGTTAGGTGAAATGAACCCCAAGATAAGGTTTCAAATGTTCTTTCTTGCAATTGTTTCTAACATATTTATAGGATGATTTCTTTGTTGCTTTGTATGTCCTTCCCCCACGGTATAAAGGTGATGAGAAGAAACTTTATTCTGGGCATCACATA